GATGACTGAGACCTTCATTAGAGATGGGGTCCCAATCCAAGAACTGGTACCTGGTAACCACAAGGTACACAAAAAGCTTCAATGTATATGTGGAGAGTTGAAAATATGTAATACTTTATTAAAACATTTAAGTGTGATCCTCAAGTAGTATTTCTGATTAGTATATATTTTTAAAGAACTTTAGAAAAGAATTTAAAGTATCAACTTGGGTTAGAAATTTGCTTAGTAGAAGAGATGAATTTTATGAGAAGAGGGCTAGACTCTATGATTATGTTTGTAACATAAAAATCTAAGTAACACTGAGCTATGCATTTCTAGAAGCTTTGTAATTCTTCCTCTGCTTGCCCTCTGCTCTGTATTTTTCAGTCCCATCTCAGCTCAGACCTTGCTAGGCAGCTCCCTCACATTTCTGCCTGACCTCTGGTCTCAACTCACAGAATCCTGCCTGATGTGATTCCACTTTCTTTGTACTACTTCGAAAAAGATATTGCATTCTGGGTCAGACCCTTGGAGTACAAAAAGAACTGCCTCCTAAGTGTTAGCTGAACATTTCAAAATTGCATTCTTTCAAAATGATACTGTTATTTACACTTTTAGAGCCATGCTTCTCCATGAGAAAGGTTTATTATCATAATGAGGGAGAAAAAGCCAAAAGACTAAAGTGGCTAACTTCTTCTGAGCAATCATATCAAGGCCTGGAGTCTGTCAGGCCCTCAGCTTGTGAAAGAACAAACATTTCTGCTCTTAATCATCAAATTAAATTTTTAAGTGTCATACAAGTATTTCTGGATGAGCAATAAGATCCTATTATCTTCGCTAAAGAAAAAGAGATGAGGAAGTGAGTAATTCTGAATCAGATTTTAACTGCAAAAGTAGACAACAATAAGAAAAAGGATAATAAGGTCTAAAATTAAATACAGATGATCTTACCAATGTAAATGTGGTTTGGTTTTATCATTATATATTAAATGACAGGTTTATTTAGTTTTTAAGTACAAATGATTTAAAAATCGAAACAAGAAGAAATAAAGCTCAAAGAATAAAAAGTCTCCAAATCAAAGAAATGCTTTTTATTTCTTGTGAAAGAAAATTATCTTCATAAAAGCAAGAACTCTGACTTTCTTTCTACTTTTAATTGTGATAAACCACACATAAAGTAAAATGTACCATTGAAACATTTGTAAGTGCACAACTCAGTAGTGTTAAGGATATTCACAGTGTGCTAATACAATTCACTGACTTACAGCCAAAGTTCAGATCTTCTTCATCTTACAAAACTAAACTCTACACCCACTGAACAAGTCTCCACTGTCCCCTACACACCAACCTCTGGCAACTTCCAGTCTACTTTGTTCTCTATGAATGCTCTAGATATCTCATGGAAATTGAATCACACAGAATTTGTCCTGTTATGTCCGGTACAATGTCCTCAAGGTTCATCCAGATTGTAGACGGTCTCAGAATTCCCTTCCTTTTTAAGACTGACTATCATCCCATTGTTTGGAGACAGCATTCTTGGATAATGCATTCATCTGAAAAAGGCTTCTCAGGTTACTTCTGCTGTCTTTGATTAACCAAGCAGGTCCTGGTGCTGGACTGAGACTACCTGGGTTCAAATCCTTCCCCTTTGTGGGAGCACAGAAAAGACAAATCTTAAAGAGAAAGAAGGAAGTCGAGGGAGGGTAGGCACACTGTCAATCCAGGCAAAGGAAAATGCCAGCAGTGATAGGGTTTGGTGAGGGTTTTCAGATACCAGAAACTCATCCAAACATTTGTTTGCGACTATGAATATGAAAGGACATATGCTAGATCTTAGGAAAGGCTCCTTCTGACACTGCCTGTTCCCAGGGAAGGAGGGAGAGTCTGGAGGCTAGAGATGCGGGAGGTCGTGTGGGTAGAAAAGGCAGAAGAAGCCCTAGTGGTGGGAGGCAGAAGTGCAGGTTTGGAAGCTTGGACCTAATTCCCTGAGTAGGAATCTCAGTAAAGCAGATTCCTAAAACAGAATAAAGGCAAGAAACAAGGCCTAATCAAGTATTAATCAATAAGAAGTTAAAACTGGCCAGAAGGTACACATCACTGGATACTCAATTTGGTGCCAGTGTGAACCTCTTGGGGTGGCCTCAAGTGTGGAAAACAGACCATGGCTCCAGAGTATAGATCAGAATTCAGGGGGTCAAAGCTGACCCTCATGAAAAGCTTAGAGACTTTACATTGCACCTTATTCCAAGAAATGAAAATATCTTAAAAGTAAAAAAGAGATATGTCCAAAAGAAGGTTACTTACTCAGATGCAAACTGTTCTACTTGATTATCTGGCTTTTCAAATATGCCAAGTTACTACACGATAGTTTTATGATATAGACATGCATTACTTAACAGGGATGAGTTCTGAGAAATGCCTCGTAAGAGGATTTCACAGAGCAAACTTACATGAATTTCAAAGGCTACAATGTCCCTCAGTGATACAGTCTTACAGGGCAACCACTTCCAGGATTGGAAATGTCTTTCTGCAGCACATAGCTGTATTTACACCTGCTTCATTCCCTAGAAGATTGCATCAGTGACCACTTTATGGTACTTGATAAATATTGATCCTAAGCCGGCAGTACTCCCAAGAGCCTACAAGCTACTGTGTCTACAGAATCTTGACTCCCAGACACTGTGGAGGTGTAGCATCAACTGAGCAAGAAAAGGTCTGCTCTCTGCTTACAAGACCACCTTGCAAACAGACAATGCATTTCACATAGGAGACATCTCTGTATTCACTTTCCATCTTTCATTCACTTGCTCACTCATATATCCATGCCTTTATGAGGCACGTTATGGGAGCCAGGCCCTGGTTCTCAGGACTAAGCAATATCTATAGAGGAAAGTTCCCTGGAGGAGTTGTTGTGGAGATGAGTTTTGAAGGGTGAGTAGGAGTTCTCTAAGGAGCGACAAGAAGAAAGTATTCCAGGCAGAAAAAAAGAGCATGGAGACAATACAGCTTCAAAGGCGGAAGGAGCAGGCAAGAGACCAGCCGTGGAGTGACCTGAGCAGATGGCATCAAAGCACAGGGAGGGGAAGGACAGCACTGAGAGACAGCGGGGCCTCTCTTTCTGACAGGAGGAAGGGAATTAAGATGTGGAAATGTGGGAACATTTTAGGGTAGGGAGTGGCAGAAAAGACCTCAGTGAGCTGTGACAAGCTACTGAATGAAGCTAAATATATGATGAGCAGCAATTAGCCGAGGAGGCACCACGCTGGGACAGGTTCTATGAAGGCTGAGTTCAGGACACCAGAGTATCCTGATTGCAAAACTTTTATGGCCTAGCACTATTAAGCATTTGAATCAAACAATTAACTCCCTGGTCTGGGATTCCGTCATTACTAAACCCACGTGACGTGCTGCATCTGCCAACCAGATGGAGAAACGCACTCTCTTTGCGGGTGACGCTTGGGTTTCTTGTGACCTGGGAAGGGTCCGCAGCTGTAGGACATTCAAACCCCGAGTCCATAAAAGTAAGCTGTAGTTGCTGGAAAAAGATGACTGCCCTAAGTGCCCTGGAGGACCCTCGGCCCTCTGGCATCGTTCCCTGCACGTGTACTGAGATTCAACAGCATTGTGGCTGTCACTCAAATCCAACGCACGCTGTGCAGCCTTGCCCTCTGCCACCCAAGCGCATGACGCCAAGAACCTAGCTTCAGAGTATGAATCTCCTACACTTTCGCATTTGCCAAGTAGAACTTCAGCAGGTTCTGACTGCTTCTCTATTTTGCTAAGTTTATTTTGACTCTTTTCTAACATTATCTCAAAGGTATTTTTTTTTAACATTGTTCTTTTCTACCACCCCAGTCAAAAACATTAAACATCGCAAGACCCAAGATGAGAAAAATTCCATGTGCCCCTTACGTTGGCCCTGAATCCCTCAGGCCCCGGCCGCTAGACTTTTTCTACTCAGAAAGAGAATGTGTGAGCAAGTACTCTTCCATTATTTTTGTTGGTCTTACTAACTTTTGGTCAATGTTGTTTACCTTTCTATTTTTAGTAAATCAAACATAGTTCCTTTTAAAACTCCACACGCACTGTCATTTAGTACAATGCTGTTCAAACGCTCTGACTTCCCGTCTTTTATCTCAATCATGGTAACGAAAATAAAAAACAAAATGCGAAAGCAGGAGGAAAATCTCTACGGAAATCTGACGAAGGAAGACAGAAGACAAAGGGCAGATTTCAGGGATAAATGGGCATCCTGAGGACAGTTTACCTATCTTCCGTTTTATGTCAACTGAATCATTTCTAGAGAAAACTAAGGAAAGAATGGTTTTGCTGAATATACGAACCACATCCACACCTTCCCAATTCATGTTGCTCCCCGTAACATTAACAATGTCCCCAAGGTTCTTCTTGTGCTCTTTGTTAGGTTTTTAAGTTTAGTCTTGCCAGATATAATAAAATACCTTCCTGCACAGAATTTCAAAATTATCAGTTCTAAGAGCAGCTCTGAAACAATATTCCAGAGATTTACATTACCCAGACTGAAAACAATCACGTGATCCAGTAGGGTGCTACTTGCAAAGAATTCTAGGAACTACAGCCCTGAGATGTTATAAGTTTAAAAACTTGATTCTTTAGCTTTCTAAACCATTGTATGTAAATAAAAATTTGGTAGCATCGTCAAGATTACAATACCATTCACAGGGTATCATATTTTAGAAAGACGAGTATTACTATTTCGTTCTAACTTGCAAAACAAGGACAAAAACTATTTCAGTGAATTTTTTTTTAAAAAGGAGAATCGCATAAATCATTTGCCAGTTTGAGGAGAGATAAATACAAAAAAGTTGGCAAAGTTAAATGTAGATTTCAGTCTTTCAGAACTGAAGGTGAGGATTCAAAGCCAACTGATTGTATTACTTGGAGAAAAGTATTGCTATCGTGAAAGAAAAGCCTACCGGAACGAAAATGAAATTTAGCATGCTTCAAACATATCCAGAGCACTGAATAAAAGACTGACTTACCTCGAAGTACAAGCAAAGGTCAGCGTGGGGCTACATCATTTCTGCACTAGGTAGAAACTGCCTGGGCTTCTCTCCTTGAGAAGCCCAGGAATCTAAAACAGAAGAGGGGAAAAAAAGTCAGGTGACATTACAAAGTGCGAAAATGTCTCATGATCTGGTATCTAATGAACAACCCATCTGAGGTCCTACCCCCGAAAGCAAGATGGGCATCTTACCCTCTCTATTTTAATGAGTAAAATGAAAAAAATACTTGTTTCAAAATTAAAAATCTAGGTTTTAAGAGGGGAAAGCCACGTAGAAGACTATGGAAAGCCAAGCAGAGCCCTTTCACGTGGTAAAGAACAAACAAATAAACAACAAAAAAAAGCCAACCTGGCCAGGCAGAGCCCCGCCGGCTGCGAGCGCGCGGCTCCCAGGCGCAGGGCTGCTGCGAGGCTGCGAGCGCGAGTCCCGCGCGGCTTCCAGGTCGGGTCCGGAGGGAAAGTGCTGCCCCCCGCGGCAGGCACCGTGCTCAGCGCCACCGGATTGAAACGTTGAAAACAGAAAACCCTCGCGTAAGTTTTCCTCGGGGGAAGGGAGGAACCTACGCGCTCCGCAGGGGGAGGCGGCGAGGCGAGGCGAGGCGAGGCGCGCCCGCTCCCCGGGCAGCC